ACCGCAGCAGATCGTATTGACCACGTCTAAGAAACTTTCAATGTTCTTAGGTCCTATCGCATGAAGCTGAACCTTGAGAAGTGCGCCTTTAGCATAGGGTCAAGAAGGTTCTTAGGCTTCATGATCAATCAGAAGGGAATTAAGGTAAACCCCGACAAGATCAAGGTCATCCTCAATATGAAGTCATCCTCCTCGACCAAGGAGCTCTAGCACCTCAAGGGAGAATTGCAGCGCTTAACAGTTTTGTTTTTAAGTTTGCAGACAAATGTCTAAATTTCTTCAAAAATCTCCAAAAAGCCTTCGAATGGGGACCTGAGCTGGAGGAAACCTTTCAAAAACTCAAAGCCTACTTGGCTACGCCTCCCCTCCTCTCACATGTTGCACCAGGTGAAACTTTGTATATGTACCTTTCTTCTTCCCCCTCGGTAATAAGCTCTGTCCTCGTCAAAAACAAAGATGGAGTGCAAATGCATATCTATTATGTGAGTAGAGTATACCGTGGAGCAGAAATCAGATATTCAGGGCTAGAAAAGCTAACGCTCGCCCTGATCTTAATAGCAAGGCATCTATGACATTATTTTCAGAGTCACAACATTGTTGTCATCACGGACCAACCTCTAAAGAAGGTTCTGGAAAAGACGGATGTGTCCAGCAGGCTCCTTAAGTGGGCAGTGAAAAACTGGGCGAGTTTGATATCTAGTACCAGCCAAGAGCGGCCATAAAAGCACAAGCCTTGGCTAATTTTATTGCTAAGCTTACATGAGTGGAGAAGGAGACCAACGAGCCTTCCACACTTCAGACGTCGAGCCCAGGCACGCAAAATAATCTGACGCTAGACGAGAACACCCAGACACCCGGCGAGGACACCCAAATGCCAAATAAGGACACCCGGACGCCTGGCGAAGACACCCAGACTCGTAGGCCAGATTCCTAGGTGCCCAAACTAGCCCAGGCACCCTAGCGCCCAGATATCCCAGCCTAGTGCCTAGGCACCCCAGCCTGACGCTTAGGCTCCCACAACAACTTCAGAGCTCTTTCCTCTACCACTCTAGAAGCTCTACGTGGACGGCTCCTTAACCAATGAAGGAGGTGGAACAGGCCTAATCTTGATCAACCTCGACGGCACTCCCATCAAGTATGCTATAAAGCTCCACTTCATCGCCTCTAATGACGAGGTTGAATATGAAACCCTCCTTCTAGCCTAAGGTTGGCAATCGAAATGGAAAGCCCAACATCTCATTACTTATAGCGATTCCCAACTAATAGTCAACCAAGTGAAGGGTGATTTTGAGGCAAGGGGAGCCAAAATGTAGGAGTACCTTGTTATGGTGTGAGCTTTGCTTGCAAAGTTCCATTACTTTCAAATCTGTCACACCCTGAGGGAGGACAACCTGGCCATAGATGCGCTCGTTAGGCTTGCCTCATCCTTGAAAACCCTACCAAAACTAGCATTCATTGGACATCAGCTCGAACCAAACAAGTTAGACATGGAAGCCACAAACATCAATTGTGTGTGTCAATTCGAACTGGATGACCCCCGATAAGGGCATACCTCTAGGAGGAAGTGTTGTTAGATGACCCCCTGGAAGCCAGGAAGCTCAGTATAAAAGTTTACCATCTTACAAGACACCCTGTACAAGAAGGGTTACTCCTTGTTATTGATGCGGTGCCTTTAGCCCGAAGAAACTAACTATGCTCTGTGGGAGATCCATGAAGGGGTTTGTGAAAATTACTTTGGAGGACACTCTCTTGCCCACAAGGCACTTAGATAGTGCTATTTTTGGCCTAGCATAGTGAGGGACACCTAGGAGTTTGCCAACACGTGCGACAAGTGTTAGCATTTCGCCACTGTGTCCAGGCAGCCACCAGAGGAGTTGATAATAATCAAGAGTTTGTGGCCTTTTTCCAAATAGGGAATTAACATCCTAGGCCCCCTGCCCTTAAGCAAAGGACAGTGCAAGTTTGTAGTGGTCGTCGTCGACTACTTCACAAAGTGGGCAGAGACCGAAGCCCTGACAAAGATAACATATGCAAAGGTTGAAGATTTTTTCTAGAAAAACCTGACCTGTCGCTTCGAAATACCCCATGCCATTGTCAGTGACAATGATATGCAATTCAACAACAAGCTCCTCAACTCCTTCTGCTCCGACCTTAAGATAAAATAGTCTCATTCTAGCCCAGCGCACCCGCAGGCAAATGGATAAACAAAAGTCATGATAAGAACGGTATTATGCAACATAAAGACAAGGCTCAAAAGAGTGAAGGGTATTTGGGTTGACGAACTCTCAAGTGTATTATGGGTTTACCGAATCACGCCAAGAACCCCAACTGGTGAAATCCCATTTTCCCTCGCCTTCGGAATTGAGGCAGTCATCATTGTAGAGATCTGGGTACATTCTCTAAGGGTGTAACACCACAACCCCATCACCAATGAGGAAGGACTCTGCATCAACCTTGATTTGGTAGAGGAGGCAAGGGAAATGGCTATGGTCTGTAACGCAGAGTACAAGCGCCAGATAACAAAGTACTACCACTCAAGGGCGAAGCCATGTTCCTTCCACCAAGGAGACTTGATCCTCAAAAAAGTGATCTACGCCACAAAGGATCCACGAGAAGGAAAGTTGTGACCAAACTGGGAAGAACCATACCTTATAACAGGAGTGGTGAGGCCAAACACCTACAAGATCCAGAATTCAGAGAAAAAGGTCTTACCCCACCCATGGAACGTTGAACACCTGTAGAGGTACTATCAATGACACCTTAAGAGAGTAGAAAAGTTGGGGAACTTGATTTTATTTTTTGTACTTTTTGAGGTTATTACCCGATATTGCTTGACATAAGCAGTGAATGAATAAAACTTTCTAGATTTACTTCAAAAGATCTTTGTATTTTTGTATTCAATTTCGAAGAGCATCAGTGGCAAAAAATCACTTTTACAAAAGTAAGGCTACAAATTGCCTTTCTAAAAAAAAACAAAAATCAAAAGTACCCAACACTCTGACTACTTTCATGGTTGTCCTTATCATCATCATCCTCAGCATTGTCAGATCCTCCATCACCATCCTCAGGCTCCTCAGATGACAAGAAGCTTGAAACATTAATATTAGAAAAAGCAGTAAAAATATTTCCTCGGAGCTCCTCATAGCCATCAATAAAGATGTTTGCAAGGATATTCTCTAAGTCACTTTTAGGTATGAAAACCCTCTCCTCAGCCTGAGAAGCTCTCTCCTGAGCTGCCTTCGCCTCTGCCTTCACTCTCAAGCAGATTGCCTCTTTGAGCATACCTTTCTTACGGGTCTCCACAAGCTCAGTCTCTTTGAGCATGACCCTCTCGTAGGTCTCCACAAGCTTAGCCTCTCTGAGCGCGTACCTTTAATGGGTCGCTAAAAGCTTAGCTGCCCTCTCATGGGCCACCAAAAGCTTTGCCTCTACTTTCAAGCAGGCAGCCTCCTTGAGCACGACCCTCTCATTAATCACTACAAGCTCAGCCTGAGAAGCCCTACCAGCAGCTTCAAGCTCGGCAATCCTCTCCTGAGCAGCAAGAAGCTCCTTATGTACAACCTCATGATTAAGTTTCAACTGACTGTGAAAATGGGCCTTTGAAAGCAAGCATATAAATGCAATTGAAGCCTGAAAAAGACAAAAGATAAAGGAATGATAAAACGCATAGGGAAGGACTGGAGCACGCCATAGGCACCACAAGAGGGGTTACTTCAGGAAAACTCACCTCGAGTGGCACCATTGGAGAGGTCACTTAGGAGGCATTGCTCATCCTCGCCACCTTAGGAGAAGGAGGGCTCCTATTAGAGAGGCAGGACCCAATCACCATTCTATCTACTACAAAGGAAGTAAAGTGTTATCTAAATAAAAAGCACCAAGTAAAAGGGGAAGGTACAAGAGAATCAACATACCTTTTCTCTTCAAAGAGGAACTGCCAGATCTCGGAGAGGGTTCACCAGCCGTACCACTGTCGTTGGACATAAGAACTCCAAAGTCTTTTTTAGGATGAGCCCTCATGGCCTGCAACTGTCACTCTTGATCTTTGAAGAGCACATCAGAATCTGTAAGAGGCATGATGGGTAAAAAAAAAAGGGGCCAAACAAGAGAAAGTAAGTGTGGGGCGTACCAAGTTTCTTAGGGGTACCCCATCCTGTTGGTACCAAAGCCTTATCGGCCTCTAAAGCCCATTCTCGGGCGACAAATATGAAGTGAGACTTCCAGGTATGATAGTTGGAGCGTAATCCTATAATTAACTTGTCTCTCGTAGTAAAATAATACTAACCTCGATTGGGAGCAAGAGCCTCACTCAAAGTATAAGTTGCATGAAACTCGGTAGGGAGAGGCATCCTTATGATGCACCTTCCTTCACAATATCAGAAATCACAGCAAAACTCTCTAACCATTGGGCGACAACTGCCCCGATGTAAGTGAAAAGTAATGCACAATACGACAAATAGAAGAAGACGTGGGGAACCTAAGCGCAGCCTCAAGCATCTCCTAATAGATGAAAATGTCACAAGAGGAGTCATCATAATCAGGCTCACCCATCTCAGCCCAACGGCACAACACAATTGGAGGAATGTGGTAAGCGGAAACAATCTGTAAAATATCAGAATCCGTATTAAAAGTGCTAGAAATAGTACTCACTTTGGATCCATCGTCGTCGAGAGCTACTTTTCCTCAGTGTTTTTTGTTGCGAGGGCGTGAAGAATTGCCTGAGCCACTACTAAGGAGGGCCTGAGGAATCAAACTTTGGGGAGTACTACCTGAAGGAGCCAGATTATTTGCATTATCAGAATTGTTACCACCAAGGGGTGCCTGTGACTAGTTGTGTCTCACCTTGTGTAATAACTGCCTTAAAGCTGCTGCCCATCACTTGGGGAGTCCCACTTAGCACCATAGGCACCTCATAGTTGCCGCCTAGCCTCCCAGCGAACGCCATTGGTGCCACATGATCAGCGGTTTGAACCTCTCACCCATCAGCCCTATGGCGTGTTCACCCGTCTTCCACTAGTTTGGACCACCTGGTTTGTTCCCCCATCTGATTGGGTAGCTTGCGACACCAGAATAGCAGCCTGAACCCAGTGCTCCGCAGCTGCCTTGCACTGCGCTGTCCTGTCCTGCACGTCGACTGTGTGGGCTACTCGCCCACTGACTTGAACCTTGCCCACTCAAATGCCCATCCTTTGATCAGTGCGCCACTCCCCCAGTTCAGTGCTTAGATCAACGCCCAAGCTTACCTCTTTTGCTGCGAGCCCGCTAATGACGCTCACACCTGCACGCCTAAAACCAGCAGCGCCTACCTCCCTGGGCAGCTCGCCCTAAGCCTCCAAAGGGGCGCCCATGATCTACTCACCCCTCAACCAGCCCAACATTGACGCCAACTCTTCTGGCCTTATCAACACCTCCCTCGCCCAATCTCCCTCTTCGGTCAATGCTTGCATCTCCTTCTCCGATAACGGTAAGGGCATGCGTCCTCTTTTTTTTAATCAACATTGCTATGAAATACTCAAACTCAAGTAGTTTCTTGAAAAACTTCAAGAAGAGCACTCTCCTTCACTCTCTCAAATTTCTATGGAATGTATGGAATGGGGAAGAAGCTACCTATTTATACCTTGGGTTTTTAAAATCTTATTGAAGGAAGGAAAAAGCAAAAAGTCCCAATTTATAATTAGGGTTCTTCAAGAATCTAAAAAATGGAGTGAAAGAAGGAGTTTATGTAGCTTATGATGTCCCATGGGCCAAAAGAGTCTACGTGAAGGAAGTGAGTCGCCAATTAAAAGGAGTTCTTAAGAAATTCAGATTTAAAAAGAGTTGAACGTTATTTTAATCGAAACTTTTGATCTGTAATTCTAAACGGGGCCCATAATATGTTAAATCAAAGCTCTCGGTGAGCTCTACAAGACGCCATTAAAAGCCCAAAAAAGGCCCAAAAACATATGTTTTGACCTCCTGAAGTCCTTTATAGTGATGCGTTCAGCCGAAAATTCAAACTTAATCAAATGCCCTCTTCTCCAAGTTCCATTGGATGCAGGGCTTTGGGGGGCAAATGATGGGCCAAGCCCAATGGCCCAACTCAGTTTTGAGCCCAGTTTGAATTAATAGCCCAATTCCTAGAGATTCCAACAAGTCAAGTTCAAAGTTTTTTATGCCCAATCAAGATCATCAGGTTTGAGGAGCTATGTCAGCAGGGGCACATGCAAGGTCATCCAAGAGTCTCATCTACGCCGCCTTGGAAAGGGTCAATTCCGCACATTAACCCTTGACTGAATCTCATAGAGAGCACCGTAACCGCCTCGTCTGTTGAGAAGAAGTCGTCAGATCCAACAGACTAGCCACTTAGTTACTAATATCTTGCCCAAATCTGTTAGGAATGCGATTATAAATTGTAAGTCTCACCAACACTTGGGGGGCATCACACTCTCTTGAGTACAACCCTCCTCTCCCTCTCAAAGCTTGTAACTCTCTGCTCTCCCTACACACTTGAAGTAATAAAATACCCGACGACCCTAACTATTCAAAGTGGACGCAAGTCACATTGATCGAACCACTATAAACCTTGTCTTCTCCATTTCTCACTTATTAATTACTGTATTTATTAATGCTTATCTAACAAGTAATGTACAAACCCAATTTGTGCATCATCCGGACCAATAACCACATTGATGAATAGACAAAAATAAATCAATCATAGTCCACATTGGGGCCAAGGTGGCCATGGCCCCCCTCAACAATTTATAAATACCTTATATTCTCTTTAGATTTTCTAAAATCATATACCTTCCCTTAAGTTTTCAGAAAAAAAAAATTATATTTGTACGATAATTCAATTAGTGTATTTAAAAATCCTAATGATTTGATATTTAATAATAAAGTACTTTGATATTTTTTTCTCATTTAAGTTCTCAATAGAAACGCAACATCAATAACCACCAACCTCCACAAAACTCATAGAGAAAATTTTAACATTATCCAACTATATCCAAATTAGAGTATATAGATTGTGTGTAAAAGCTAGAGGAGTTTTTTTGTCATAGTGTGACATTTTTGAAGATACAATTAAATATGGAACAATATTAGTTGCACCTAATTTATTAATGGTAATGCGAGATGGGTAGTTTATCTGTGGCATATGTCTCTTAAAGAGTAATGGATGTGTGTGAAGATAGTCTTAAGCAAAGATTTGCTCATGAGTGTAATTTTGTAAATCTGTCTGACTATGAGATAGACTGATTGAACAGATACGAGAGTTGGTCATCCGGAAGTCTTTTATAGAAGGTCTCGCTCAACGAATCAAAGGTACGTCGAGAATAATAGGTTAATGACTCCCAATAACTTTTATCGACAAATTCGTTTGGAACTTCGATGTCGACTCATTACATCCTAGGGTTGAAGAATGTCCCAAGGGTTTGTTGGGTACCAACTCAATGGATGATACGTTAAATTAACAAATTATGTCAGAGTAATATTTTTTTAAAATTTATGTAATACATGCAAATCTTTCTACGCATGAGGGTTTAGATGTTTAAAGAGCTAGCTATTAACCAAACCATGCAATTTAGATCTAACCAATTCGATTAATGATTCCCAAAGGTTCAGATCAAACTAATACTAGTGGATAAGACTTATTTCGTAATCTTAATGAATATATTAAAAAATAATAATGGCACACAAAAAATTCTTCTTTTTTGAGACCTACCACGATCATTTTTCTAATTTTTTTTTACCAACATTGTGATAAGGTCAATTAAAAATTATTTAGAATCAGTAAAATATGAATATATTGATTTTTTTTTTTGGGCAAAATTTAGTGGCGCCGCCCCTGCTTTTTAGGGTTACCTATAAGCATGGACTATACCAATGTGATCAAGCAGCAAACATTATGATGAAAATATAGAAAGCAATAATAAGATTTATGGAGAATTACACCCAGTCCCCCGAGATTTGTCACTTAATTACTCAGATCTCTGATATTTTAAATATTACACATAACCCTTGTAAGGTTTGTTCGCGCATAACATTTAGATCCTTGTTGTAAACATATCTGTTAATGAATTACACCTAAACCCCCTAAATTTTATAGACATATAATATTTAGACTCTTTAAGTTTAAAATATTATACTTAAACTAATAATACTTCAATCAAAGATATAATATCAAATATTTTAAATTTTACAAAAAAAATTCATGTTCTATTGTATCAGTTCTAGAAATAAAATCAAAAATAAAAATTCAATATTTTCTTTAAAAATTGTAATTAGTATACAATTGTAAATTTTTCACCAATTTTGTAAATTTTTTATTGATGTTAAAAATTTGTCCACTACTGTTATAAATTTTTTCATTAATATTGTAATTTTTTCACTAATCGATCATTCAATATTAGTAATTGATCGCAAACTTACAAAAATATAGTTTTGGTACTTCAAATGGTTGTAAAAGTTTACCCACTATTATAGTTTGTTCATTACTATAGTAAATAGTCCATTGATGTTGTAATTCTGACCACTATTGTTGTTATTTTGTCATCCGTTGACAGCTTTTTGGTAAGGTACCAAAATATCTCATTTCGGTACCGTAGTATGCTCCGATACATCTAGAACAGTCTCTCTCCTTTTAGAGTAGTTATTGGCCCTCTTTTTCTACTGGGGACGACGAGTATACTTGCATGTTACACGTTGCATCGAATTTTGATTCGCATTTATTTTGAGTTTGAATTTGTTTAATTAGATGTGGATTAATATTTTTTTTATTGATAGTTAAATTCAAATTTAAATATGTTATATCCTATTTATTGAATTTTAATTATGATATGCTAATATTTGATATGATTATAATATGATTCTATTTATATATATATATGATCAAATTAAATGAGCTTTTGATGAAATTATATTGAAAATTAAATGTAATTTAATAAAAAAAAAATTAGATTTATTCATATCAAATTTGATTTTCAGGTCTTGTGTTCGATTCTTAATAGATTAGGAAAACGATTGTGAAACTAAAATACGACAATAATTATAATGAATTCGAATCAGAAAATTTTAAATAACTTGGATTCAGATCGAACTGAAAATCCTTTCTATTGGCAGGCTACTTAGATACCTTGTAGTTTCTTCATGTCACCTATCCTTGGATTTTTTTTTCAAAATTACATTTAACATCCCTTACCATCGAAACCTGAAACAAACGTTAAAGGGCCTTATTAAGTCAATTTAAATATAAAGTTTTACAAAAGTGTACCACTGGTTAACCAAACTAAACCATGCGAAAACATGAATGAGGGTGTGGTGCCATTTAGGGCCGTCAATAGAGCGGATTTTAATTTTAATTTGATTTGATTCTAAGTCCATTTAACAAGGTATGGATTAATATTTAATTTATTTATCCAAATTTGAATTTTTATTTCCATTACTACTCCCATTGGACTTCTTATGTCAGGATATGGATCAAATAATAAATATTCCTTTTTAGGTGGTCTCCGAGCTGCTACTCAATCAATTAGTTATGAAAGATCTGAATCCGATTAAATTTTTTTAAATAGATTTGAATTTGGATATATATAAATTTGATCCGATATATATATATATATATATATATAGGGGCAGTACTGAGAGTAGGCATGGGGGGGCCAATAATTCCATTGTCCCCCCTATATTTTCAAAAAAATTTATTGCTAACCTCTAAGTTTTCAAAACACCCAATGTATAAATATCTCACTTAATGTATTAAAAAAGATCAATGACTTAATATTTAGTAACTATTTGAGATGTAATCACATGGATGAGTGTCACTTGTACTGATGAAGACACTTGTTGCATAACTTTGATTGACTATAGAGAAAAAATAAGTGACTTTTTTGTGACCATAATTTATTTACGGACATAAAGTTAGATTATAAACAAGACAAAAAGAGGATGATATTATTGTCACAAAAGAATTTGAATGATGAAATTTAAGTATTGAATTGAATTAAACTGTTTAATAAATATAAAGAGTTGAAGTCTAAAAATTATTATTATTCTAATTTTTTTTTTAATCATTTCTCCACAACGACCTAGTTTCTTACAACCACCATCACAATGGTGGTGGCGACGACAGTGGTGGTGACAATAACACAATAGTGGTAGTGATGAAGGTGGTGGTGCAGAGACTGATAGCATAATGGTGGTAGTGACGGCGACGACACAATAATGATTGTGATCAAGGTAGTGGTGGCGGTGGCACAATGTTGGTGGTGGTGATGACACAATGGTGGTAGTGGCAGTGGTGGTGGTGGTGATGGTAGTGATTGCGGTGGCATAATGGTAATGACAGTGGCAGTGACGGGCTTTTACTAGGGTGATTACTATCACTTTATCTATAAAGTTCTGCAGGCTTTTACCATTTAAGTTTGTAGCACACCACTGAACAGTTCTAGGCCAACTCAAGTGAGCTCATTGAAGATTTTATTTCATTTGCATAGAA